CTCGGCCAGCTTTCCAGCTTGGCACCAGAAATTCTCGTTGTTGTACCGTTTCGTTCGGCACGACGGCTTTCAGACGAGATGTCGCGTTTCGCAAACGTCTATTAGGCGCGAGAGGTTGTTTCCGATTTTGATCTCACCCATTTACCGTACACTGCGGACACAATTTGGCCGTGAGAGGCGGAGCTGAACGTGAGCGTGGATCCCGCGTAATCTCGTTCATTTCTGCGATTTCGATAACGCATCCGACAGCATTGATGGGCAATCGCGACAGGAACGTCGATGAGCCGGCTCGATGCGCGAGTTCGATAGAGCGGACTCGATCGGCGTTTTAAATTGGCAATCCCGATGCCGCGTTGATAAGGATTTTAATTGTCTCCAGGCTTCACTTCTTCCCAAGCTCTCGAGCTAGAGTTGTTTCGGGGGATCGCCCGGCTCGATCCTCTCTTCTTCTTTTTCTCCTTCTAAATTATTCCTCCCTTTCGCTTCCAGCCAAGTTCCGATTTCCAGAGATCCTCCGACCTCGCGAGCTCATCTCCATTCTGGAAGCAGGTCTGAATTTTGTATTCCCGGATGACTTTTTTCTTTGTAGATCCCGTCCAGCGTGAGTTCGTCGACGTACGTCGCTTCTCTCCTCGACCACGTCGATCCCACACTGCATGCGGTGGTTCCGGAGACAATCAGTCGCGCAGATTCGCTCCATTTAGGATCAACGTCATATATCGATGGTGTCACCACCATTCGGTGGGAACGTTGCAGTCAAATCAGTGGTAAATTTCGCGTGAAGATTGTATCTTCCTCGTGAGCTTCATTTGCGAAGGATCCAACAGCGGGGACACCGATCCCGGACGCAAACGTTCGGAAGAGATCGAAGCGCAAGAGGGGCGCTCACGGAGATTGTTCTCCCCTGGCGGTTCCCCCGTGTTTTCGTTTGTAGCCGCACTCGCCTCTTTCCCGGAATCGTACCTACAACGCTCGTCCGCGGAGCCTTTGAGAACAGAATGAATAAACCTTCCGAGGGCATGATCACAGTCAGATACAGCTGGTACACCGGTCTGAAAACCTCATTCAGATGTAGCTTTTCGTTAAGACATCAGATCTCTCCCCTCTAGAAGGGATTCGACTCGTATCTCGGGGCCGAGGTCGTAACGGGGAGAAGGAGCGACCGATATTTTCCTGCTCCGCCCTTACACTTACTCGCCGGAGGCGAAATGTGGGAATAAAATTTTAATATCCTGCACGCAGCCACGACGCGCCGACTCGCCCCGGACGACGATCCGAGCGAACGGACGAGATACTGACCGCTCGAGAGAGCCATAGACAATGTGGGGTTTATGAAAAACGGAGCTCCTCAAACCTGTCCGACAGCGAATCGGCCCTGAATCCTGATCGAAGCTGATTGTCGGGAACAATCATTGCAGCTGGAATGGCCAGAATAGATGATGAGTTGAATAAATCGATTGATCCTGACTCGCGGCAGCCGCTGGGTCGAAAAGTCATTTGCTGGTTAGCTTTGCTCTTAATCTCCGTATCCAGTCATGCTTTTGTAAATCTGCTCCTCATCTCTCGGCCGCTCTCCCATTGTCCGACTCCATACTCGAGTGTGTCTTCCGAGTTTAAGTTTGAGATCCGATGTCATCCGATTACGACCGACGGGTCAGAGTCCGAGCCCATGAAAGAACCGAAATGAGATTACCGCCTCGGTACGGCCTCAGGCTTAGGTCATACCACGACTGTTCTGACACCTCAAGATCCTAGATAGCCGCGACGAAGAAACGAATCCCGTCGTATCCTTCGCGCGGGAATCCGTCCGAATAGTCTCCCTCTCCCATGCATGCGCATTGATTGCCTCATTTTCCCATGATTTTCATGCTCCGGGCTTGGAATGATTTGGAGATCCATCGAATTTATCGCACTCGGTTTCCGGTGCGTAGCTTCGTGTGCGTCGCTAATTCTGCGGCTCTCCGTCCGAGAGTCCACGCTAATTTGGGAGCCGTTCCAGCGCGTCTTTTTGTCGGTCTCCATCGTCCTGCATGCTGGGCGTCCGCCCGCCCGCACGTACTCCTCCTCCTCCCTTGCCTGGTCGCTCTTATCGCCTCAACCCATCTCGCTACACCCTCCCTTGGAAGTTGACAAGTTATGTTGTTCGGAAAGTAGATTTATTTCCAGACCTTTTGTTCCATGAACAGTGCTCGGTTGGGCGTGTTATCAGTGTTGGCTCATAACAGCGTGCCGAAACGCGAGCGTTTCCTCGAGGAAAAATCACGTCCGCTCCAAACAATGCGCCGATGTAGATGACGCCGATGTTAATAGTATCATCATCGAAGGCCGGCGATAGGACGGAATGCCGCCCGTATCAATCGCGGGTCCGAACTCGCGCATGCTCCGGAGGCCGCCCCGCATCGGGCAGTGATCTCGTCGGAAATAAAGTGATTCCATGGAGTCACCCGCAGGAGATACCGGAGTTGCGGCGGCCGAGTTCAGCGATGCGTTCAGCTCAAAACGGCGCGGCGTCGGCTTATCGTACGGACAGGCTCGTCTCGTGGGTTAGCTTGGCGAAAATCCGCCGGCGAGGTCCACCGCTCATGAGCAAACTTCACAACGTTGTCTTTTGTTCCTCAAGGCCAGAATTGATGATGTGGCTGCTCCGCCGCGCGGCATCTACATACAATCTATACATCTCCGAATAACCCTAGCCTAGAAGTTCGATAATCTGAAACATCTGTGTATGATGGACGGCGGGCAATGGGCGCGGTTTATCGGTGGCTCCGATGCATCGGGGGATCGGCACTGGATTTCCGGGCATTGGATTTCATGACTGATTTTTTCGCGGTAGGGATGTAGGTTGGTCGTGGGGACTTCGGAGCTGTCCCTGAGGAGGAATGTTCAGTTGGCAGACCAGAGGTCGAAATTCTTCTCGCCCGAGAAGACCCGTTCTGGCCGGCACGGAACTATCGTGACGCCCGCGCCCCTCGAATCGAGCTGCTCCGACTCCTTCGACCTATTAACGACGTATTGCTCCGGAGAGAGAAGCCGTAATGCGGAGAAAACCGACTCATTCAATGGTCGACCTGATAGCCAGCTCAGGGTGCTCGGAGCGCTCGGAAAAGGTACCAGAGCCTGTTGTTCAATGAGCTGGATCCGAGGGAGAACTTTTCCTCGCAGATGCTCGACCTACTGGTTCCTTCTCCTGCGTACTAAAGTACTGAGCTGACTCAGAGGTAATAATCGTGGAACCAGGGTTCAGCCAAGGAGAATTTGAAATGAATTCAAAGAATCATAACTAAGGCTTCCCCATAATCGTGGAGCCCGTTTTGAAGACTCGAGAGGGGGACGGGAACTGGAATTTTTCCAGGGATGCTCGCTCGAGGAAAACGAAGTTATTCCCGGCGGGAAACCGACTGAAAGTAGGGGTGTCTATCTCGTTTCTCCCGGTAGAATGGTCGGTGAGCTTCTCTGAATTATACTCTTCGACTCTGACACGATGAACCTCATAATTTTTCGATCGTGCTCCTGCAGGAGCGGCAGCCTTGAAGAGGGCCACGAAAAATCCTTAAAACACCGGGCTGCAACGTTCTTCGAGACTACCTGCGCATCCGCGCGCACGGAACGAATTCCAGGCGGGGGCGAGATGTATTGTGGGCCGATCGACGACTTGATGGCGAGTGTTTCGCGAAACAAAGCGGAACAATTCGATCGAAGTCTGAGCTTTTCGAAGTTCTCGGGAAGAGGTTCCGGGATGATGATGATGATTTTCCAATTCCAGGACCGAGAGCGGGGTATAGCGCAAACACCGCGAGAAATCGCACTGTACGCAGCAGAGCCCAGAGCCTTAACTCCACGCACTCAACTGGTCTTGAAGAGTCCACTCAGATCTTCGAATATCTCCGAGTTTGCGATGAAGCTCGACGTCAGGATCCAGCTCAACTCCTACCTCTCTTCGGAAGAATTTATGTCAGTGATCGAAGCCCTTGACAGGTGGAAAAAGTCTCCCCCTAAACTTTGTGAGATGATTTCGAAAATCATGAGGAGCATCGAGGGACATTCATCGTGGACGATTGCATATGGAAATTTCTACTGTAGAAGTGTTGCGCCAAGCGATCTCTGTGTTTTCGCAAGTCACAAACAGAATCAAATGGCCATCCTCAGGGGCTCATGGATCTCAGGAACCGTAGCGTGAGTTCCCTTTTCTTGTATCTTTCCCGCTACTTCTTTCCTAATCTCATAGAAGTCAATCCGGAGACTCGTGGATACTTATCCGCTCGGGCTATTTTCTACATGTCGGGGATGTCGACCGAATATTTTTCCCATAAGTCCAGTCTCAGCGGGATGTTCGAACAAGAAGCTTGTGAGGCGGAAATGTCTGGACTTCGGCGGCGCCTCTCCTCCGGTTCGCGAGCTGGAACGATCCGTGGAGAGATGTCGTGCGGCGACAGCCCCCGGAGTCTGCTCTGAAATCGTGAAACTTCTCACAGAAAATGACGGCTCGCTGAATTTCCTGACCGTCTGCGGTGGGTGCGTACATCGAAATTCGGCAGGAGTGATGTCTCAAGCGTGGAGCTTCTCGAATTCTCGAATATCGCGACTCGCGGCGGCTCAATCAGACGGCCCAGTCAACCCGCTCGGCGATTATCGTTGCTCTTTTCACCCTCAGAGACTTCTGCATCAGTCTGGAGGAAAACGTTGAGAATTCAGCCATAGCCTTTTTCGGAGAAATTACCGATATGAGTCTTTTCATAGTCCGACTCATGCCGACAGAATAGCAAATGACATCGGCTCCTTCCTCGAAGGCTGAATCGACCACCGGTCTGAGAATCCTCAGCCGTGAATCAACAATTGCTATCGAGATCCCTACTTGAAGAAATAAAGTCACGAATCAGCCGATGCAAGGCGCTTTGCTCCGGACCTTTATTCCATTATCCTCCTTAGGCCGCCTCCTAATTTCCTCCAAGAGGACGACACGCCTCCGTTAAAGCAAGCTGGGCGAGCTCACCCTCCTCTCATCAGTTCGGAGCCGAGTTGTCCACTCGCTGACTCGCGTCTCTGTTCCGTTTGATGAACTCGCTGTATCGCCTCCTTATCTGGTCCCTTACGAAGAGGCTCATGTCTGCAGCCGAGGTACCGTCCCCTTCCCTCAAGCGTTTATCGAACTGGATCAAAGCGTTCTGCATCGCGTTATGGTGCAGCCTTGCGTGCTCTTCCCAAGGAACGAATGCTTGCTTCGAGCTCAGGAATCCTTCCATAGCCAGCACGTATAACTCAACGGTTTTTGCGCAGATCGCCGCATTCTTCTCGCGCACGTTCAAGTCAAGGGACGTGCCGAGATCATGAATGTTGCCAGCTGCGAACATTCTCCCATATCGCTCCACGTTGTCGAGGAAGCTACCGAAGGTGTAGCATTCTCGATGGCTTGCGGGAAACAATTCTTGCAGTGTGTTTTCGGAGAACATTTTCGAAATGAAATCCTTGAGCTGCCTCACGAATATCGGCTCGAACTCTGTGCGAGGAGATTCGGTGGAGAGAAGAAAAATCGAATTTAGCAACTTCTCCTGTTTCTTTCGGACTGAGTGGATTCCATCTCGTCAACAACAAAGTCATGCGGACTAGTGCATCACTAGAACCTATGGAGGATATCTCATCTGTCCCATAGATCAAATCACCTGATTCTTCTCCACGGAACTTTGTTGAAGTGGCTGGCAGCAAGCCGGGGTGGGGCATCAGGAAGCATTCCAGAGTTCTGAAAAATTCTCTCAGATCCTCTGAGGCTCTCTCAGGATCCTCACCGAAAACCAGCATCCGCCCAACGTTCGTCAGGCGTCTGAGTTGAGTTGTGGGGCGAAAAAAAATTTAAGAAGCGATTCCATTATCCGGTCTCGGAAATTATCGGATCGTATTTCAACAAAGACCGGGTATGACGGATCGATCATCCCGTACCGTTCAAGTAAACGACGACCACCCCCCAACCGTACGGCGCCTGATGCAAATCCTGCCAATCGCGCACCAGGAAGACAAGGTTCTGCAACGTCGCCGTTCCCTCGGAAACGTGTCTCGCGTACTGCACGGCCAGCTGAATGTTGCAAAAGTCCTGACTGCTCAGATCCTGCGACACGTTGAAGATCTGTATCGACGACGTGAGCAAGGTGAAGAGCAAGATTTCAATTGAATTCTTCAACTCGCTCCTCGGATCGAAAACTCCCTGGCTGTCCATGACGACGACTGCAACACGTTCGCCCGAAGCACTCTCAACCTGGAAGGGTCTCCGCTTTCAGGGCGACAGAAACAAAGGAGCGATCGCTCGAAAAATCCAACCGAAGACTTTTCGGAGACATTCTCTCGTTGCCTCGTTCAAATTGAACGTGCGGACACTCGAAGCAGATACCTCAAATATCTCGTCCCAGATGTGGATTCCCGCCGTCGAGTCCTCGGTCGATAGCCCCCAGGCGAAACCAACCAGCTCCTCGTTTGCGGTGGGCGAATCTTTGTCTCTGTTCTTCAGGTATCTGTCGAGAATTCATTCGACAAATCAGGAGCAACTCATTTTCTCGAGGTTGACGAGTCGACTTTCGGTTCCTTCAGATCGGCTTCCGACACGATGCTCATCTGACTCGAACTTCTGTCGACCATTTTGACAGTATTATCAGTAGAGCCCGTGGTTTTAAGCATTAATCTGTTTTTTCATTATTTATTGAGAATTGATGAAAATCTTTCTCTTCAATTCTTCTTGTTCTTTTCCAACGGAGCAGGAGATATGGAGAAAAGTAATGGAAAAAGCATATTGATCCATGATTAATATTCAGCGAAGAAATCATGAATGCCTGAAACCACAGGCTCTAACTATTAGTATTGGAAATCAGGTCCGTTTTGGGAATCAGGAAGGACGTCCCAGAATAGGACGGAAGGCTCCCCGCTGGGCTTCGCGGTTCTCCCTCGAGGATTAGGATTGTCTGTCGTAGGTTCCCAATTCGAAATAACTTTAATCGGTCCAGCTCACCTTACTATAAGATTCAGCATGAAGCTGCGACCCTGTCTGGAGCGCCCTGCTATGTTAATCACGATTACTTTCGAGGATCTCACTCTCAATTCACTCAGGAACCGGAAGCTTTCCTCATGGAAGACGAGGCTCCCATTCTCTGAAGAGAGAATTTCTAGAGCTGGCATTTTGGAGCACACCACCGGCTGGGGAGCGATGCTAGGAGGAGTGATATTTTTCTATGAAAGTTTTTGACTTGGCTTAACTACCTATCCGCGGAAATCGGCCCGACTTAGCCCGATGAGACCGCTATTAGCCGGCTTGAATGGGGGGATCACGATATAGTCCAAAAGGCAGTTCCACGAATATAACTCCGATCTATAAGGACTCTCGATGGAATCATGCAATCGAGATAGCACATTCGTTTAGGTAGAATTTGGAGGCATATCAGTGATTGAGAGCAGCCCTTCCTAGATATCAGGGGATGAGCTCCGAAACGACCGGAGGGGATCCCGCTCCTCATAACCCCTTGGAACTTCCGGCTCATCAGAAATTACATCGCGGTCGGACTCCTGGTTTTCAGTATGTAGAGTCAACGGGGTCTCTATTCGCGGCAGAGGGGGTCTCGACCAGCAGCTGAGGTCCGCTTGCGACCCCCGGCGATCTTAAGTGGACATCTCGCGACTCGAATCCGGTTCACAAGGTCTGGTACCACCGGAGTGGATCCGAGAGAGCTCACAATATATTCTCTGACGCCGATGGCGTCACCGGTCAGGCTCGATCCGCGCTCGACGGCGAGAGATGCCGCTATCGGGTTAGGGATCAACACGTTCGATTCTCGTGATGGTGACAAAGTTCTGTGTTGTCGACCGTGTACGTATTCATATATGCAAGCACGCTGGCAGACGGGAATGCATGCGAGAGAGCGCGTAGTTCATCAAAATTCATCCGGACAAGAGGCCGAACGCGTGAAGCCTCAGCTGTTGAGGCTCCGACCAAGAGATCAAGCAAGTGAAGACGGGCCGTATCAAAATGCGCTCGCTCGGTGACATACAGCAAGTTTCGCCCATCTGTCCTCGTAAATGACGTTTTGGACGAGGCCGCGATGGCAAGAACGGCGGAGGGAACGACATCGTTGTCGAAAAATGCCGTTTCCGAATTTGCATTCTAAGCCTCCGAAGACTGACGGAGACGGCAAGGACGGAAGAGGCTTGAAGCGATTCCCGGCGCTTTCGAGAAGAAGAGAAGCAGATCAGCCAAACGACTATGGTTTCCTCGACTCGGATCCTTCGAGCCATCAGCGGGCATTGATGTGTTGCTCGCGGAAATCTTATCAGCCATTCGGTCGAGATCACCATTGCCATACTGCGACGATTCCGAGTTCCGATGCCCCGGCGGGAAGACTTTCTGATGTGAGTCCATCTTGAGCGAGAATTATCGAATTCGGGAGCGCGAATCGGAACTCAGCCTTCTCCTGATCCAAATCGCAAAGTCTGCAGCCTGATAACTCGTGAAGAAAATTATTCATTTTTCACAAGATGAAATTTTGCTCGATGTTCTCGAATTCTCCATAGTCTCGATCCCAGGTGATAACCAAAACACATGAGACAAGCATCGGCATCATACAATGGAGCACTCATTATCGAGGTTCACCAAGACCATCTTTCCACGATTCAGACGCTGACGGAGTAAAAAACGAATTCCCCCGCAGGCCCCGGTGGAAAGATCAAATTGGATAAATGCGTGTGATTTACACTAGCGGAATCGTCGGCTGTCAGAGACACCTGGTCACCACTACCTCTTCCGCGTCCACCACCGCTACTCTGCTCTTTCGCGTTCAAGCTCCGTTTTCTTTCTCTTCCTTCTCAACGCTGCCCGTCGCCTCGCTCCCTTTCGCATCGAAAGGGCTTCCGTTCGGAGCTGTAGCTCCAATTGATTAATCTCCGCTTCATGCCGAATTAAGAAGCGAATGGTCGTCTCTTGAATGACCGTTTGTTCGCCTAATGCCTCGTTTCTTCCCCTCACCCGCCCTATTTCGAAATTCCTTCTCAATTTCGATCCTTTTCACTGTCATTTCATAATTCTAGATAATCTCCCAGGCCGTTCCTCCCCCGTCAGAGAGAACCAAGACGGTGATGCTTGGGTTACTCATGTACTTTCGTCCTTAAACTCCGTAGCCATTTCGTCTGAGGTTTCGCGTCGGGAATGAAATCCCACCGCGGAACGCTCGAGATAGGAATCCGCTTCAACTCCTGAAACCTGAAACAAGGCAATTATGTCGCTCTGCGCGGTCGCTATTCCGCCATCGGGAAAGAAGGGGGGCGGGTCGTGACGGGGAATGACGAGAAGGAGTAATTGTAGGTAGAAGGAAAAGTCCGCACCGACAGTCAGACGAGGTCAGGGAGTCATCTTGGTGTCCCCTCATCATGAAACGACATATCCCAACGCTCGAGCGCGCCGAAATATGTCTCCAAGAGGAGCATATGCGGCTTCCGAGCGCTCCGCTCCGGAGACCCACCAAGCTATAAGAGCGGAACTAGCCCTCTGGATCCGAGAGTTCACGGAAAGTAAGAAAGTCAATGACCGAACTCGGCCCCAGGATGACCTGGAAGTTAATGCCGATGACGTATACCTTGAGCCTGATTCCGGAGTGGCCTTATCACTTATCACATTCCGAATGGGATCGGTGTCGGGTGACTCCAGGAGAATCTGAACCGGCACTCGAAGGAATCGACGTCGATTCAGTTTCACGTTACAAATCACCGGATAGACACTTGTGGGTAGAGAATTTCAATCGCGCATCGGACAAGTCGAACGGATTTCTCCTCGACTATCAGACCTGACAGTCCAATTATTATTATTATTATTATTGTCCCGCAAGCAGGCAACGTCGAGTCGGATTTCCCCCGGAAAATACGCTCATCTCCTGTTTGCCCCCTTCCCCCCCTTCCCGATGCTCGAGGGGATCAGTGCGATCGAGGCAGCTGATGAGCTTGAACCTCACACCGTCCCACCGCATTTCTGAGGCTCTCCGCCAGGGTCATCGATGGTGTATTGTGGCGACGGTAAATCCCGAGAATTGCTGGGATTGTTGGATTGCCCGCCGAGAGGCTGATCGGTTCACTAGCGAGCTGGATTGTGTGTTGGCCCCGATGCGTTCTTCTTCCGCTCGGCTAGAGTCTCTCGATAGCGAGCTGAGGTCACAAAGTATAGGAGGGCACTTAGCGATGACATCAGAGACTTTGCTCTCTTGACATCTTCAAAGAGAAAAACAAGCCCAAATACAGCATTGAGCTCCACCACAGACTCCACTTCACATCGACCGGGCGTACGGACGAGCGCGGATTCGCGGCGGAAATCTCTGGCTCGTTCGTCTTGTCTGGGCTTCCCATTTTTGTTCGCTGATCTGCAATACTGTCGCAAATATCGCGATCCCTCCGAAGCTTCCACATCACAGGAAATAACGAATAAAAATGCGCTGGAAAAGACGAGTGACTTCGAGAAAGGGTCGCAGGAGATCCCGCGGAAAAGTTCGGAAGCGCTGTGACTCTTATCCTCGTCCCGCTCTCCAGTCGGGCGCGCGTTTGCGTCTCTTTCTCCTCAGGGAAACTGACAAGCGGGACATTTTTCCTCCCAGCTTGGATGAGGTCTATGCAAATTAATTTTCCTCTCTGGCGTTTCTCGCTTCGGACGACTTCGTCATCGGAAGTGTCCTTGAAGGAAATGGCCGTGCTTCGTTATCAGATGCGAGTCATGTGACCCAATTGATAGATTGAGAAACTCGTACCGAATTGATTCTTCGCAGGAATTTTCCTTCCCGCATAAAACGTCTCCGAATATCTTGCGGGCGAGTGAGCCCCACGACCACCAAGGCTCACGGTGCTTGGGAAACACGCATCATGAATGCGGTCGATGAATTTTTCCCTCTGGAGAATTATGGAGCGTTCATTTCCTTTGTCGAATATTCTCGCTTGGTCTCCGTATTCCCCGTGAACAGTTCCAGCCCTGAATGAAGCTTTTCCACCAAGCCTTTGTCGTGCAGCGTAGTGCGACGTGTATTGTGGAACTTTTTGCGGGGAAAACCGTGTCCATGACAAGATCTCGCAAGTGCAAAATACGCCTTTTTTCCGTCAAAGCTCTCGCTGGATACTGGCTCCTGCAAAGCTCTCTTTGCTTCTCGGCCGGAATAGACTTCACCGAGGAGGTCCGAGGCGGAACGCTTGAGCTCGGACGGTGCTTGGATGCAGATGTGTGCGGCCATTGATGCTTTCCAACTCTTTCTCTCTGAACGTGTACAAGTCGTCGAAAGTTTTGTGAGTCTTTCGCTGTTTGTGTGCATTCAAAATACTACCATCCGACTGGCTGACCATTGCAACCAGAGTTGGCTCGTTTACCAAGGAGGCACGCGTCCACACGCCCTCTCGGTCGGATCCGCTCCAAGCGTTTCGCACAATACATATTTGAATGGCAGCAACAGCAGCGACCAGATGACTTCCAGGACTTGTGTGGATATGCAGTACTCAGAGTCAGGATGTCCATATTTCTCCCCGTACTGAGTGCAATCGTGGAAGAGGAAATCTCTGACTGAGGACCTTCCAGCCTTTTGAAGGTCGAACATAGCTGGCTTCGAGACCCCGCCGAAAAAACGTAGACGACGTCGAAAATCGTGAAATATGCGAGTGTTCGACCTCTGCCTGGGACATTCTGAGAAACTCGAAGCTCCGTCTGAGGCTTGTATATCACTGAGTTTCCGGAAGGGTCCCGGAATCTGTGATTGGAAGATCCATGGGAATCAGCTTGGAGATGCTGAATCGGCTCTGAGTGGGTCCCCCACATCTTCCGTGGTAATTCCTCTCGAGCGCACACTTCGTCTCGCTCTTGACAAGTGGAGCCATAATAATTGGTGTGAATTATAAACAAGATTCCTCAGGATAATTACCGGTGAATTATTCGAACCGAAGGAAATGAGCACAGGATCTCCCGTTCGTAGGTAGTGGAAGCGTGGAACGGGAAGTTTTGCGTCTCGATCGCGGGACCACCGTGGCATGGGTGTACAGTCGAGTTTCGCTCGGTGTCTCGAGCTTCATCGCCAATTGCCAACGGAGTGTAGCTTTTCGCAACACTGAGGAACTCGCCGAGAAAGTCGGTGCAGGGAACGATGATTGCCATCATTCGCAGGCCAAAACTG